ATTCTGGAATGGGTAGTTTTTCCTTTCTCCAGGGGATCTTCCCAACACAGGGATCAAATCCAGGTCTCCTGCATTGCAGGCAGATTCTTTACCAGCCTGAGCCACAAGGGAAGCCCAAGAACATTGGAGTTGTGTAGCCTATCCCTTCTCCAGGGGATCTTCCAGACCCAGGAATCAAACCAGGGTCTCCTCCATTGTAGGCAGATTCTTTAACACTGACATATCAGGGAAGCCCTGATAGCTTCCCAACAGGAAGGTTCCCAATCACTGAAGTGGAACAAAGTTGAATTACCTTAAATTGAAGAAAGAACACATTACTAGAGTGTTTATAGAACCCTATGTCATGGAAAGAGTTTGATAATGTCACTTCCTAGAGATCTTTATAAAGTCTACAGTGGATATGAAGGTTTCCCACTGTGACGTCTCAACCCATGATCAACCATATACATCATTTCTGAGTTGATACCTGGGTAGCAAAGGACTTCCTAGAAGGACCACAGGATTGGGATACACAGGATCTCTTAGAATTCTGATTCTTTCCTTGAAACTCAGTAATTAGACAATTTCTTGAAATATATTCCAGCTTTTTTTAAAAACAAACAGCAGACACTGTTGATTGTCCACCTGTAGCAGATTCTGCTGATGCCCTGAATTTACCCCCAGGCATTCCCAAGTCCAGGATATGCTGACAGCATCTGCGGATCTCTATCTTAGGGCTTTCTCTCTACCAGAGTGTAAGGCAGTAGTTTGTCCCTGTTGGGTTTAATATGTAACCCAGGCTCAAGTCTTCCAATTCTGCTTTCTGAGTCTTGCTACACAATCTGAGGAGGGCTCACAGAGTATCTGATTTGCCTTCATGGCATCTTGCATAACTCTGATCTGCAAATAAGAAGCCCATTTTCCTGCAGAGTGGAAGCAATGGGCATGTGACTATAGGATCCTTGGGTACTACCATATGCATGCCACTGGACAGAATTCTTAAAGAATTCTGAAAGGCCCAGCTAAGGAGTCAGCTTGAGGTTGATACTTTTCTGGGTGGGACCCTATACTTCAAAATATGGGATATGCTTTAAACCAAAAGTCAAATGATATTCTGTCCTCAGTTGTTAGAGGGAGAATTTAAAAATTCTTTTCAAATGACCTGTCTTCTCTCCCTTTAGTCATTCCCAGCCCTAGTGAATGATCTATGATTGAACTAAACTTATCAGGGCAATTTCATTTGATAATTATTGGTTTAGGGGAAGTAGGCAGAGTACATCTTGGAAGATAAGAAACATGTACTGACATGTAGAAGCCAATTTTCCTCTCTGGCTTTGGATGGAGTATTGTGTAAAGATAACAATGGAGGAAATTCCCTGGTGGTCCAGTGGTTAAGAAAATGCTTTGCAATGCAGGAGACATGGGTTCGATCCCTGGTTGGGGAACTAAGATTCCACATGCAGTGTAGCAACTAAACCCATGCTCTGGTGCCCACATGCCACAATTAGACAGCCCATACTTTCCAACAAAAGATCCTGCATGACACAGTGAAGATCCTATGTTCTGCAGCTAAGACCTGACACAGCCAAATAAGTAAATAAATGCTTGGAGCAGTTGCAGCCATTCTGTGACCAGGAAGAGAAAGAAAATGAACACCGAGAGTGGCAGAGTAAAGAGACAGAAGGAGCTGGGTTCTGATGACACCAGTGAGCCCTTTGAAGAAATCCTGGAATTGCCTTCCTCTGGGCAGTTTCAGTGAGATAACAGATAATTTTATTGTTTTAGCTGCTTTTAGTCAGAGATGGGTAATTTCCAGTGATGTCTGTAGTGGACACTTTTGATTAGGGCTTCTCACATTTATTCCTTTCCATGGCTACTTCTGTGTTGATGGTGTCCACATTCCACTATAAAGGCCCAAAATGCTGATATTTCCTGGCTTCCCTTGCAGCTAGGATATGACCTTATGACCCAATTCTAGCCGATAGGACTTGAGGAGCAGTCAGTTGTTAGCTTTCTGAGAAAAGATTTCCTCCTTAATTAGAAGTGACATTTAGGAAACATTCTCCTATTCTTTGGCCACACACTATTGTGTTCTCATGTGACACTTGAAACTGTGGTGGCCATCTGTGAGTGTGATCATCTAAGGAGAAAGCCAGAGTGAAAGATGTAAAGACTCAGGTCCTCAATGACCTGGCAGAGTCCTTGAACCCGTCTTAGATCTGCCCTGCCTCTTGAGTTATATTTAAGTGAGGTATATAAATATCATAATCTAAGTTGATTGTTGTTGGATGTTCTCCTTGAGGCCAGAGCCATCTTAACTCAGAAATCTAGGGCTGTTACATCACTTCAATCACTGTCTTGTATGTGTGTTCGTGCTCAGTCGCTCCAGTTCTGTCTGACTCTGTGACCCTGAGGACTATAGTTCATCAGGCTCCTGTGTCCATGTGATTTTCCAGGCAAGAATACTGGAGTGGGTTGCAATCCCTTCATCCAGGGGATCTTCCCGACTCAGGGATCGAAACTGTGGCTCCAGCAGTCTTCTACAATGCAGGCGGATTCTTTATCAGCTGCACTACCCTGAAAGCCCATCAATCACTGTCTTCCCCTCCTAATCCACCAGAAATGAAAGAACAAAAATGTTTCTGTTGAACTTCTAAACATCAGCTGGTCCTCGTTTTACATTTTAATGATGATGAAAAATGCTAGTAGTATATAGCTTGCTATACAATCACAAACTATTTCTGGGAACCTCCACAGAAGACAATCATTAGGTATTCATGAAAATTACAAAGACATCTCCTCTCAACAGTCCTGTAATTTGGAGAAATAAAAAAACTCTAAAAGGAACTGTTGGATGTTTTCATTCAGTTGGCCATTACAGCTTCTGAATTGAGTTTTCCTAAAAAAGAAGGGAAATACAACCAAATTCCCTTATTCTTTCAGATGCTGTAAATAAAAGTATACTGAAAACCTGTCTAAAAGAAAAGCAGTTATGCATGTATTATTTTATTTAAAAAACAAAACATCATAGAGACTGGAGATATTACTGTTTACTGTAAGCAAACAAGATGAGAATTTAGAATTTAGAAGGAACATTTTCTTTGAAAAGTATATATCATACCCACACAGTCGCTTAGCGCCCCCCCCCCCCCCCACACTAGTAATATCAAAAGAGATAATGAAGATGTTAGGATGTTGCTGGAATTCTACAAGTCTGCTTTATGATTATCGATGGGGAATAAAAAAGATTCCTGCCTTGGAAATTACTTATTTTCTAGAGGCTTTTCCTGGTTCTAGAACTACAACTTTGATGGTATACTTTCCTCAGTATGCAGAACGATGGTGGTCTTTTAGATAAGAAATCTTCAGGATTTTATCCTTTGATAGGGCTTCGACAGATTAGGAAGCAATTGAACTTCTAGCAAGAAGAGCAGGTTTCCTGGGTCAGGGATCCTTTGCTTTAGGTAGTTAAATTGGCTTGGGGCCCAAGGTGAGTGAGCTTTCTTTGCTCCTCGCCTCATCACCCCAGACAGCTCAAGTTCAGGCAGCTTCACAGATTTTGAGATTCTCTTGGGAAATCAAGCCCCTGCTTTTGCCCAAGGTTGGCTCATGCACGTCACCTTTCACCTACTTTAAAGACAAGTTTTGCATAGCATGGTGGTTTACTATTCAAGTAGCTATTTCTAGCTCCTTCATTACTTCAAAACAAAATGAAACCCTCCAAATGTTTTACTTCTTGTGGAATCGAGTCTGACTTAAAAGTTTTAACTTCGTTCACAGACCACTAAATAATATGTTGAATTAAAGAGAGAGAGAGAGAGAAAAAAAGCTCAACCCCACTACAGCTTGCGTAATGAAAGCCATCTTTTTAATAGTGTATTGTAGTTGTTATTTTAGTCATTTGTATTTTGCTTTTTTGGCTTGCAAGAAGGCAGTCTACCTGCACTCTTTTCCCCATTCGTAGTGTCTAAAGTGAAATATAATGGCAAACTCTTCAAAATACAGAAACACGTTCAGCTTCATAAAAAGAAGTCCAAAAACAGTACTGAGGGGTCAACTTTATCCTTTAGAAAACAAGTATCAACCTTGTAAATGCCTTCCCTGGTAGCTGAGACGGTAAAGCGTCTGCCTACAATGCGTATAAAGAGTGAATGCACCGAGGTGAGATGGGCTATTTGCTGGGTTCGTTGAAGCCAAAGCAAGAATAAAAAAACCTGCTTTGAATTTCTGTGCCCCTCTCACTTCAGACATTTCCCCAAATCATTTTGCAAAATCGGACAAATCTGTGCAAGAACGAAACACGTAATCCAGTTTAGAGGGAAGATAATGGCGCACTTTTTTCCAGATCTGTATTAAGATTTATAGATTACAGCAACATCTGCGTTTGTAGTTTTTGGGAGGGGCGAGGCGGTGATCTTTCCAACCCCAGGGGAAAGGGCCCTCCCGCAGACCGAGCCGGACGGCCCCTCCTCCGCCCACGTCGCGGCCGCACAGTCCGGCTCCCCTCCCCCGCCGCAGCGGTCCAGTCCTTCCCCGCCGACCGGTCCCCGCCCCGCGCAGGCTGCGGCTGGGTCCCGTCCGCCGCGGCTCGGGCGAATGACCCGTAGTAACCCCGCCCCGCCCCGGCCGCCCGCCGCGCTCCCGGCCGGAATTCGATAGGCCCAGCCCCGCACGCGCCACCGCCCGCGGGCCAATGGGCGGCGGCCTCTCTGCATATGCAACGAGCGCCTGCCGGGGGTGCGCGTCCCGGGCGGTTCGGCTCAACAGACGCTGGTCTGCCGGCGCCGGGGTGCGAGTCCTCGCTCGTCGCCGCGGCCAGGGCTGGGACGAGGCGGTGAGGGCGGACCAAGCCGCAGACGGCCGTCCCCTCGCAGTGCGACCGCGGCGGCAGCGTCAGGGTGCCCAGGAGGCGGCCCAGGGCGCGAGTGCTCTGGGGGCGCAACCCAGGCCTGCGTGGGCCCGAGGAACCGGGGCCCCGGCGTCGCGGTGAGTGCGGCGCCCGTTGTGGGCACGCCGGGGCCTCAGCGTGCGGCAGGGCTGCGCCCCGAGGGCAACCCTGGCCCGGGGGAAGGATGCGGCCGGCCTGGAGGCCCCGGGTCCCCGACGTGGCCGCCTATCCCGGCGGTGCGGGCGTACCGGGCCGCCCCGCGATGTGGGTGGGAGGTGCCGCCGTGGGATCCGGGAAGCGGGTGAGGTGGGGCCCGGGCCGCAGAGCCCATGTGAGCCCGGGGGGAACCGCAGCCCGAGCGGCCGAGCTGTCCGGGGGAGGAAGGATACGCGGGGTTCCCTCCCGGCGCTTTGGGGGCGGGGTGGGCTGGGGGTTGGCCACTTTCACTAGCCGGGCTCTGACGAGGTCCTCGGGAGGAAACACCCCTGCGGTTTCCGAAACCCGTGCTGGAGGGGCGGGCGGGGGGTGTGTTGCTGCGGGCCTTGAGGAGAGATTGGGGGGTATGAGGTGGGTCGACCTTGGTATTCTGGCCGCTATCGGAGGCGATGGGCCTGGGCTGAATCCTACTGGTCTGGGGTTGGGAGTTGAAGGTTTACTTTTCCCTAGGTATATTTTAATTATGCACCGGTAATGGAATGGGTAATTCCGAGCAACCCGAGCGGGGTAGGAATGATCCAGCCCGTTTCACAGGTGGGGAACCCGAGGCCCAGAGACATTGAGCTCGTTTGTCCAGGCTGACTTTAGAAAATGTGCTCTAAGCTATTGTGTATTTTGTTGTTTAGTCTCTAAGTCGTGTCCGACTCTGCGACCCCATGGACTGTAGCCCACCAGGCTCCTCTGTCCACGGGATTCTCCAGGCAAGAACACTGAAGTAGGGTGCCATTTCCTCCTCCAGGGGATCTTCGCGACCCAGGGATTGAGCCCCCATCTCTCCTGTCTCCTGATTGGCGAGCGGATTCTTTTACCACTGAGTCAGCTAGGAATCGCAGAGAGAATCACAGCTTCTCTTCTTATTTGCCATGATTTGGGGGCAAGTTGATGTGTCCAAACAGCAGTTCTCTCTACCTGTAAAATGGGAATAGCCACCACCTTAGAGAGTTGTTAACAGTTTTAGAGATACTAGGCAGAAACTCTTGGTAGGAAACCTGAAATGTTATAAAGGCTTAATAAGTGTCAGCTGAGAGGGAATAGGCCTTGTGAAATTGGTTGTAGTGGAATAAGATGACAAACAGCTGACACTTACTGAGCCTTTATAACATTCCAGGTTTCCTACGAAGAGTTTCTGCGTAGTATCTGTAAAACTGTTAACCACTGTCTAAGTTGGTGGTTATTCCCGTTTTACAGGTAGAGAGAACTGCTGTTTGGACACACCAACTTGCCCCCAGATGACTGCAAGTAAGAGGGGAAGCTGTGATCAGACCCGCCTGTTTGAAAGTCTAGAGCTCTCTTACCCAAGCGTTATATTATGCTGCCTCTCTTTGGTGTCTGGCTGGATAGTTGACACCGTGGAGTTTTGTTTGAGTGGCCAGGAGAGCAGTCATTTGATGATGACCTTTTCTGGTTCCCCAGGTTTGTTTCAGGAGTTGAGGGGTGCTGCTGAGTTAAATTGTGTATTAGAAGGTTATTACTGGGAAGAAGTGTGGTGACAGGGAGTGTACTGTATAGACTCTTCTATCCTTTTGTGTTCTGGAGTGTTTTGTGCAGTTCTTAAAACTTAGGAATGAGTAAGACTTCTTCAGTCACTGGCGCTTTCCTTTTCGTCTTTTCCTAGTTCATTCTTTCTCTAAAAAGCGTTGGTTCTGTAGTAGGATGGTGGTGTTGGGTGTAGGGCTGGGTGTATGGGGTTGAGGTGACAAGTCACCTAGTGTCCTTGGGTCTCAGTTACTGGTTTGTGAGCTGTGTGCACTGGATGATTTAAAGTTGTCCTTCTTGAAGGAAGGATGGATGGGGAAAATCAATCCCTGCCTGGTTTGGGGAGTCAGAGCCCCAAAAAGTCCCAGCGTTTTTCTCGTTGCTTATGTGCTTCTCTGCTGTCCGGTTCTGTTTAACAATTCCTTAGTTAATTGCTCCCTTAGAGCCTTTAATTCCTATTCTATGTCAGGCAAGGTGCTGGGAATGAAAAAGAGAACAGAATTGATGCCATTTTTGCCTTTATAGAGGAAAGAATATGAAACAGGTCATCATATGAATAATAGATAATTAGAAATTATATGTATAATGAAGGAAAAGTAACATGTGAATGAGTATAATATAGACTGTTGTGATTTAGATGGAAATCTAGTCTAGGGAGGGTTTTTTTTTTTTTAAATTGTGGGTGACAGGTGCTTGGGTGACTAGGTACTATTTAAAAAAAAAACTTTTAAATTTGGGCATGATTTTAGATTTATAGAAAAGTTGCAGATATGGAGTATTCCTATATACCATAACCCGGTTCCCCTGCTCTAATATTAGCATGTCACATCACCTTGGTTCATTTGTCAAAACAAAAGATTTATATTGATAGTATACTTTTAACTAAATTGTAAACTATGTTCAGATATCACCAATTTTTCCACGAATGCCCTTTTTTCTGTTCCAGGATTGAGTCAATGATACCAGCTGGCATTTTGCATTCATGTTATTTTAGTCTCCTCTGGTATTAAATGGTAATTTAAAAATTTCCCTTTTATGATTTTGCTTTTAATAATTTGTAATAGTAAGTGGTATAGAACACTAAGGAAGTAGATATATGAATATGTAAAATAAACTACTAATATCAACCCTTTTAGTGGTTCCAGTTTTGTTTAAATTAGGATTGCCCAGTATCACTATGGTAGAAAATTTCTTTCTAAGCCAATCATCGGTTGACGGGCACTTTGGTTGCTTCCATGTGTTGGCTGTTGTAAATAGTGTCGCTAATATACATGTACTCAAATGTTCATTTTGAATTACAGTTTTCATCTTTTTTGGAGTGGAATTGCTGGGTCTCATGGTAGCTCTATTTTTAGTCTTTTAAAGTATCTCCTTACTGTTTCTCTAGTGGCTGCACCAAATTTCATTCTCACCAACAGTGTAGTAGGGTTCTTTTTTCTCCTTTAGTATTTATTATTTGTAGACTTTTTGATGGTAGCCACTCTGACAGGTGTGAGCCTCATCACAACCTCATTGTGGTTTTGACTTTCGTTTTTCTTGATAATGATGTCGAACGTCTTTTCATGTGCGTGTTGGCCATCTGTATATCTTTTTTGGAGAAATGTCCATTTAGGTCTTCTGCCTATTAAAAAATTTTTTTGATAGAGTTATGTGAGCTGTTTGTATATTTTGAATATTAACCCTTTGTCAGTTGCATCATTTATAATAAATACTTCTCTCATAGGTTGTCTTTTCATTTTGCTTACTGTTCCTTTTGCTGTGCAAAAGCTTTTTAAGTCTCATTTGTAAATTAGGAGATTTCTGCTCCTTGGAAGAAAAGCTCTGACAAACCTAGACAGCATATTAAAAAGCAGAGACATTACTTTGCCGACAGAGGGTCTGTCTAGTCAGAGCTGTGGTTTTTCCAGTAGTCCTGTATGGATGTGAGAGTTGGACTATAAAGAAAGCTGAGCGCCGAAGAATTGATGGTTTTGAACTGTGGTGTTGGAGAAGGCTCTTAAGAGTCCATTGGACTGCAGGGAGATTAAACCAGTCAATTTTTTTTCCCCCAATTATTTTTATTAGTAGGAGGCTAATTACTTTACAGTATTGTAGTGGTTTTTGCCATACATTGACATGAATCAGCCATGGATTTACATGTGTTCCCCATCCCGATCCCCCGTCCCACCTCCCTCCCCATCCCATCCCTCTGGGTCATCCCAGTGCACCAGCCCTGAGCACTTGTCTCTTGCATCCAACCTGGGCTGGTGATCTGTTTCACACTTGATAATATACATGTTTTGATGCTGTTCTCTCAGATCATCCCACCCTCGCCTTCTCCCACAGAGTCCAAAAGTCTGTTCTATACATCTGTGTCTCTTTTTCTGTCTTGCATATAGGGTTATCGTTACCATCTTTCTAAATTCTATATGTATGCGTTGGTATATTGTATTGGTGTTTATCTTTCTGGCTTACTTCACTCTGTATAATGGGCTCCAGTTTTATCCATCTCATTAGAACTGATTCTAATGAATTCTTTTTAATGGCTGAGTAATATTCCATAGTGTATATGTACCACAGCTTTCTTATCCATTCGTCTGCTGATGGGCATCTAGGTTGCTTCCATGTCCTGGCTATTATAAACAGTGCTGCGATGAACATTGGGGTGCACATGTCTCTTTCAGATCTGGTTTCCTCGGTGTGTATGCCCAGGAGTGGGATTGCTGAGTCATATGGCAGTTCTATTTCCAGTTTCTTAAGGAATCTCAACACTGTTCTCCATAGTGGCTGTACTAGTTTGCATTCCCACTAACAATGTAAGAGGGTTCCCTTTTCTCCACACCCTCTTCAGCATTTATTGCTTGTAGACTTTTGGATAGCAGCCATTCTGACTGCCGTGAAATGGTACCTCATTGTGGTTTTGATGTGCATTTCTCTGGTAATGAGTGATGTTGAGCATCTTTTCATGTGTTTGTTAGCCATCTGTATGTCTTCTTTGGAGAAATGTCTGTTTAGATCTTTGCCCCATTTTTTGATTGGGTCATTTATTTTTCTGGAATTGAGCTGCAGGAGTTGCTTGTGTATTTTTGTCTGTTTTGTCTGTTTCTTCATTTGCTATTATTTTCTCCCAATCTGAGGGTTGTCTTTTCACCTTGCTTATAGTTTCCTTTGTTGTGCGAAAGCTTTTAAGTTTAATTAGGTCCTATTTGTTTATTTTTGCTTTTATTTCCAATATTCTGGGAGGTGGGTCATAGAGGATCTTGCTGTGATTTATGTTGGAGAGCTAAACCAGTCAATTCTAAAGGAAATCATGATTCTTCATTGGAAGTACTGATGCTTAGGCTGAAGCGCCAGTACTTTGGCCACCTGGTGAGAAGAACTGACTCATTAGAAAAGACCCTGATGCTGGGAAGGATTGCAGGAGGGAGGAGAAGGGGACGACAGAGAATGCGATGCTTGGATGGCATCACTGACTTGACTGATAAGAGTTTGAACAAACTCTGGGAGATAGTAAAGGACCGGGAAGCCTGGTGTGCTGCAGTCCATGGGATCGCAGAGTCAGACATGACTGAGCAACTGAACTGTGTTTTTATTTCCTTTGCCTTGGGAGACTGATCTAAGAAAATACTGCTATGATTTATGCAAAGAATGTTTTGCCTGTGTTTTCTTCTAGGAATTTTATGGTGTCATGTCTTATATTGTGTTGCTCAGTCATGTCCATTTCTTTACCACCCCATGGACTGTAGTACGCCAGGCTCTTCTGTCCATGGGATTTTCCAGATACGAATACTGGAGTGGGTTGCCATTTCCTCCTCCAGGGGATCTTCTCAACCCAGGGATCGAAACCACATTGCTTACCTCTCCTTCATTGGCAGGTGGATTCTTTACCGCTACCGCCACCTGGGAAGCCTTGTCTTATATTAGATCTTTAAACAATTTGGAGTTTATTTTTGTATATGT